AGATAAGCATGCTTACCTTGTTCTTGATCTTTACTATTTCACTGAGCTGTAGGTTTTTTGTAGGTGCCCTTTATCAAATTTTGGAATTACCTTCTATTCCTAGTTTGTTCAGAGTTTTTAGATATTTAGATGTTGAAATTTTGTCAAATGCTTTTTCTCCATCTATTATAATGATCATATGGTTTCTACTTTATTCTGTTATAGTGAATTATACTAATTGGTTTTCAATTATTTAATTATCCCTACATTCTGGGGACAAACTACTAGCTCATGGCATATTATCCTGTATTGCTGGGTTCAGTTGGCTAATATTTTAAGGATTTTTTTGTCTGTGCTCATGAGGGATATTTAGTTTTGTTTTATTGTAATGTCTCTGTCAGGTTTTGGTATTAGTGATATGCTGGCCTCATACAAGAAATTTAGAAGTATTCTCTCCTCTGTTTTTTGATGCTGTTGTTGGGTGCCGTTGAGTCAAGTCTGACTCATGGCAACCCCATGCGACAGAGTAGAACTGCCCCATAGGGTTTTCTAGGTTGTAATCTTTACAGGAGCAGATCACCAGGTCTTTCTCCTGCAAAGCTGCTTGGTGGGTTCGAACTGCCAATCTTTCAGTTGGCAGCTGAGTGCTTAACTGTTGTGCCACCAGAGCTCCTACTGACATATTAGGCTGGGTAATTCTTTGTTGTGGGGGCTGTCCAGTGTTTTGTTTCTCTGGTGAGTTAAAATCATCAGAGGCTGCACAATGCACAGAATATAGTAGGTGCTTAATAAATGGTTATTGATTGGAAAGTGCTTACTGATGATTGGAAAAGACTGTTAAGTCAAAGTTCATGATTTTTGAAGTATGTGAACAATGCAATTAGTTACTAAAGAGTTATATTGAATAATCTAAAAAAGTTAAGTGAACTTTTATTTCATTTGATAATGTGTTTTATTATATGTTACACAAATTAAAATTACTTTTTACTTGTGACTGAGTTCATATTTGTATGTCAGGAAGACTTGTGAATAGGTTAGAAATTATTATTGTGGTTTATCCTAGAGAAGGGTAAAGGGTAATTCTTGCTAACACAAGAATTATTATTTAAAATCTACATCTACATTTCTTTCCAGCGGCCTCAGATACCAAGATCAGAGATACAAGAAACATTCTACATGTCTAATGATAAAACATGGGTAAAACATCTTTCAAGGATCTGTGGCCCTATGATTCAAAAAATGTTTAATATATGTAAAATCATGATTTTATGTGGTGATTAAAACCTATACCTATAATGGGCTACCAAGGAGCAGTGGTGACTGTGGCACTTAATCTATAAACTCATCATTGGTGCTGGTTCTAGCCTCCAACAAGATTAGACAGTTTTTGGCTCAGTTCTATGCTGCTTATCTCCAGAATTGGAGTTGGTTATTTGTACCCTATTTTAGGTTCAAGGAAGAGTAAGGTTATTTACCTGTAACTCCAATGCAGTGAATTCGAAAACATCAGACGTTACTTACCTTCCTGCAGTGTAGCATGAAATGAGACAGCATTCAGTTCTCCACATAGGTGGACTCAGGGCCAGAGAAAAGTCTCCTACTTTCCTACCTACCAGTTTGTTTGGCACATATTAATGTATCATCATACAGGCTTGAAAGTTTTTTGCTTTTGTTTCTGTTGCCACTTTATTGTAGTTTGAAAAAGCTGAGTCCTGCCTCTATGGGACAACTGTGACAAAAACTTTAGCTCTCTGGGGATCAAGGAGAGAAGTAGTTGATATTTTTACAAGAGAAGAAATGGACTTAAACAGGCACATTACCTCTTCCTGACCAGCTCCTGATCCCTGGTACTCATATGTGACATTCATAGTAAGGCAGAAGCCACTTATTGGCTATGTATCCATACTTTGGGAGCTACTTAACCACTGTACCTCAGTTCCTCATTCAACACCTTGACTGCAGCCTTGTGGAAAGATGATCCTGAGCTAGGAGGACACAGCTAAGCCATATCAGATTCCCAACCCACAAAAACCATGAAATGATAAACATTTGTTGTTTTAGGCCACTAAGTTTTGGAGTAATTTTTTATGCAACAACAGATAATATACCACTACACAGAAAGACTTAAAATTAGGTTGCTCCTCACTAATCTTTATGGCTTTTCAGTTACTGTTTATTCATTAGGATTTTGTTGGCTTTGAGTAGAAATTTTTCTAGACGTCACACTCTTCACCAGGTTGGTGCCAGGAGTTAGTGGGCTGCATTGCCGATGACAGAGCTATCCATCAGTGATATAACTACAGTTATTAAAGGGAAGGTTTTGCCATTTCTTCTGGTTCTTCTACTAACTAACCTGGATTGCTATCCAAATATCCAAAGTCCAAGTAAATTTATTAATAACTGCTTTCTCTTCATACTTGGAAAGACCAGCTCTAGATGTTCTCTCTGCTCTAATGAATGATTCTTTGCTTCTTCCTGTCTGTGGCTTCTGTCTCTAAGTGGGTGGTGATGACTTCACTGAACCTTCATAATCTCTAAATTATTCCTTACCCATCAGGTATTTACTGAATAATTTGTATTTATGTACTGTCTCTCTAGAAACCATCCTGCATGGGATCAATGCCTTAGGCTCTCCAATCAAGCTCTTTAACAACAGAAATCAAATGTTCAAAAATCCAAGTTACTCCTAAACAGATCATTAGAAGAACATTTAAATAAAATAACCATTTGATTTCTTTTGAGCTTTATAGTACTTAAGCATTTTTCAAATGTTAAAATATTTTTAAAAATTCTCTCAAATTTTATTAGGGAGCATGCCTATGTGTGATGCGTATTTACAATTCCCCTCCTAAAAACAAAACAAAATCTTCATAGCCATGGCATGTCAATTTCTTGTAAAGTCAGTCTTCTCCCCTAGTGTTGGCTTTTGTAGTTTATTCTGTAGACACATCCAAAGAGGCCTGCTTAAGCATTCCTGTGTCCAAGTCTGGCAAAGCTGGAGATGGCAAAAAGGAAGTTGCCTTTTTGTGTCCCTAACGAAAAAGAACAACAACTAAGAACTCATGCCCATTCATAGCTCATTCTAAGACAGAGACTTGGCAATCAGCTCTCCATAAAACTTTACCGATTAGTTCCTAACCACGTTGTTGTGTTGTTAGGTGCCATCAAATTGGTTCCTACTGATAGCGACCCTATGTACAACAGAATGAAACACTGCCTGGTCCTGTGCCATCCTCACAATCGTTGTTATGTTGAGCCCATTGTTGCAGCCACTGTGTCAGTCTGTCTGGTTGACAGACTTCCTCTTTTTCACTGACCCTCTACTTTACCAAGCATGATGTCCTTCTCCAGGGACTAGTCCCTCCTGATAACATGTCTAAAGTAAGTAAGATGAAGTCTCACCATCCTCCCTTCTACGGAGCATTCTGGCTGTACTTCTTCCAAGACAGATTTGTTCTGGAAGTCCATGGTATATTCAATATTGTCCACCGGCACCATAATTCAAGGTACCAATTTTTCCATGGTCTTCCTTATTCATTGTCCAGCTTCTGCATGCGTATGAGGCGATTGAAAATACCATGGTTTGGGTCAGGCATACCTCAATCCTCAAAGTGACATCTTTGCTTTTTAACACCTTAAAGAGGTCTGTAGAAGATTTGCTCAATGCAGTATGGTTTGATTTCTTGACTGCTGCTTCCATGGGTGTTGACTGGGGATCCAAGTAAAATGAAATCCTTGACAACGTGAGTATTTTCTCCGTTTATCATGATGTTGCTTATTGGCCCTGTTGTGAGGATTTGTATTTTCTTTATGATGAGGTGTAATCCATACTAAAGGCTGTAGTCTTGATCTTCATCAGTAAGTGCTTCAAGTCCTCTTCACTTTCAGCAAGCAAAGTTGTGTCATCTCCATACTGCAGGTTGTTAATGAGTCTTCCTCCAATCCTGATGCCGTGTTCTTCTTCATATAGTCCACCTTCTCAGATTATTTGCTCAGCATACAGATTGAATAAGTATGGTGAAAGAATACAGCCCTGACGCACATCTTTCTTGAAGTTAAACCACACAGTATCCCCTTGTTCCGTTTGAGCAACTGCCTCTTGGTCTATGTACAGGTTTCTCATGAGCACAACTGTTCTGAAATTCCCATTCTTCATGTTATTCATAATTTGTTATGATCCACACAGTCAAATGCCTCTGCATAGTCAATAAAACAGAGGTAAACATCTTTCTGGTATTGTCTGCTTTCAGGCAGGATCCATCTGACATCAGCAATTATATCTGTCATTCCATGTCCTCTTCTGAATCTGGCTTGAATTTCTGGCAGTTCCCTGTCGGTGTACTGCTGCAACTGTTTTTGAATTAACTTCAGCAGAATTTTACTGGGTGTGATATTAATGATATTGTTTGATAACTTCCACATTCTCTGGGATCACCTTTTTTTGGAACAGGCACAAATAAATGGATCTCTTCCACTTGGTTGGCCAGGTAGATGTCTTCCAAATTTCTTGGCACAGACAAGTGAGCTCTTCCAGCGTTGCATCCATTTGCTGAAACATCTCAATTGGTATTCTGTCAGTTCCTGGAGACTTGTTTTTCACCAGTGCCTTCAGTGCAGCTTGGACTTTTTCCTTCAATACCACTGGTTTTTAAGCATATGCTACCTCCTGAACTGGTTGAATGTCAATCATTCTTTTTGATACAGTGACTTTGTATTCCTTCCATCTTCTTTGATGCTTCCTGTGTCATTCAGTATTTTTCCCATAGAATTCTTCAGTATTGCAACTTGAGGATTGAATTTTTTCTTCAATTCTTTCAGCTTGAGAAATGCTGGGCATGTTCTTCCCTTTTGCAGGTCTTTGCACACTTCATTATAGTACTTTGTCTTCTCGAGCCACCCTTTGAAATCTTCTTCAGTTTTTTTAATTCATTTCTTCCGTTTGCTTTAGCTACTCTATGTTCAAGAGCAAGTTTCAGAGTCTCTTCTGACATCCATTTTGGTCTTTTCTTTCTTCTCTTTTTAATGACGTTTTGCTTTCTTCATGTATGATGTCATCCCATAACTTGTCTTGTCTTTGGACATTAGTGTTCAATGTGTCAAATTATTCTTGAGATCGTCTCTAAATTCAGGTGGGTTATACTCAAGGGGTTGTACTTTAGTTCCATAGTAGTTTTATATAGTTTTTGGACCACTAAATCCCTTTGTGATGCTCAGCTGTTAGCAGAATTTTGAAGGGTTGACTACAGACTGAATTTCAACCAGTCTAAAAAGATGGTGAGAACAGTAGGCTGAGCTGGGCCTACTACTATAGTTCATTAATACGGAGACTTGTTACCCACCTTTTTCCCCTCACATTTTAATACTTGCAATATTGGCATATGTTATAACTGATGCTATCTTTTAGATTAGATGTAATCTGGTAAATATCTGCTTTAAACAATTCAGAAGCAGCATTATGTCAAGTGTAGTAATTTTTTGTGAGGAGTTATTTTTCTCTAAAACCTTATGATTACTAGTGGGTCCAGGGGTATCTGAGTTAAATGCTCTCCTGGCAGAGAATCTTGATGATCTGTGGGAAAGTTGGTGATCAGCAAAGATCAACTAGTGGAGCCTGAGCTAGTTGTTAGCTCATAAAATAGAGGCTGGTGTTATCAATTTATGGCGGTGTTTTTCAGAGACATAGCTCACGTAAGTTAAGCACCTTTTCATACAGTTGTTTAAGAAAAAATATATTTGCGTTTCTGGAAACAATGCTAGGCTATAAGACCTAATGCTGTGGTGTTTTTGACATGTATGCTGTTCTGTATATTTTCATTACTAAATCAATGTAAACATTGTAGGTTCAACAGAGTACAGATACTTGTATAAAAAATAAGTTTTATTAACAAAATGGTCTCACAATATAAAATACAGATAGATGGGTTCATTTTCCTAATTTTTGGGGATCATCTTTCTTTTTAGGTCCAGCACTGTAGGCAAACAAATAAAACAAAATCAAAGACTAGTCCCCCAGCGGAGGCATGAGAAACTACGAAAAGCAAACATGACACATAAGACAACCAGTCAGTCATCTTTTACCTTCCCTTCCACTATTAGACTCTTGGAAAGCTGTATCTGTCACTTTTGCTACTCCTCAGCTTGTTGCCTGACCATCCTGGCTACTCTAGAGACCCAGAAATGGGAAGAAAATGAGTCTCAAGTTAAATGGAAAGTTCTTGCCTGAAACAGTGCTAGGAATCCAGGCCGGGAGATGGTGGTCATTACTTCAGATTATGTCACTCAAGAGCCACTTCTTCATTACTTAAGCAGAGACATCACAAAGACATCCAACAGCTTTTTGTCTCCTTCCTCAGCTGACTTGTGCTGGGCAGCCATTGTGACAGACTGTAGGATTTCATGGAAGTGGAAATGGCTCAGCTACTCCATTTAGAACTTCTGTAAAAATTTGAGGACGAGGTCCCGCAGTCGCACCCTGAGCATCTCGTCACTGTCACAAATGATATGAGTTGAATCTTCCTCAATCTGGATCAGTGTCTCTGCTTCCTGTAGCAGGACGATATGGCCCTTGGCTGTGTCTTCCACCTTAATATCACTGAAGCCATGCTGCTCCAAATGAAAAGAGAAAGGGAGATTGATGGGTATTCTGAAAAGCAAGGGACTGACTTGAGAAGGTATTTCAGCAACTGAGGGCTCTAAAAATACTTCTCAGACTTGACTGAACTGAACATTTTAGGAAATGGCATTTTTGATACTGCTCAATACAACTCTTTAGACTAGTTTAAAAGGGCCTACTACTACAGCAATAAAAGTCAACCACAGGTTCATATACTTTAAAAGGTGTCCCCAAACATGCAAAATCTCATGCAACACATGACAGAATTTCCACAACCTGTTTAAGCTTTTTTGACTTATTTGAGGAGCACATCAAAGCACCTGTGTTCTAGGCTGTTCCTATCATCAGCCTCAGTACCAAGTCCATGTTCCCTGTTAACAAAGCCCCATCCTAAGCCTCAGCTGTTCTTCTGAGCTCCCAGGAAAATGCCAATCCTGACAGCAAGACATCAGTGACTGTGGGATTTGGCAAATCCCTCTCAAGGGAGGAGGAGATAAAATAGCATAGCAAATACCTCTCTAGCTATTTCTAATGCTGATTAAAGAAGTTTCTTACAAATCAGACATCCAGTTGAGAAGAAAAGAAGTGGAAAGAAGACTGACCTGCTTGAAAGGGACACAAAACAGGTAAAGGACACTGATCTGGGGAGATGCTCCACATTTAGTTACGGAAAGCACATCTGTGGTTTTGGACAGTTACTAACATTCCTCCTGCAGTAAGGAGATGAGGCAGAAACGGCAGAGGGGAACATTCAAAGTCAAGTCCTAGGGGTTAATTCCTGGAGAAGCCAAGTCTTTCTGGGAAGCAAGTTGTTTCAAGTTTTTAAAAATGTAAGTCGAGCTTTTGACTTGTCAGTATGGACCAAGACCACTTCCAGCTCATGAGGGAGGCAAATGCCAGTAAGTTCACCTGTATCACATAGTGTGTCTAAGAGAATTCGACAAGTTGGCTCTTCTTTGGGGGGAAATGAAAAGATGAATGGAGAAAAAATTGTATGAGGAAAAAAAAACTAATGGAGAAAAATTCTAAGAAAGCATTTACTTTAAGATTTGAAAGAACCTAGTCATTGAGATACTTAGTTTGGACAAAAGGCAGTTACTAATAGTTTAACAGAAGAAAATTTCCTTTCCTGTAATTACTTACTGGACTTAGTTGCAGTTCTTGCAAGAAGCAGCATGAATATTATTTTTAGCCAATTCCTTCATATCAAGGATTCTATAATCCTAATAAGAAAACAGTCTCCAAAGTCCTGTGACTGAAGCCAAAATTTAACTTTGACTAAATATATCTAACTATATATTTTTAAACTCTGGCAAGAATAACTTTCATTGGAGAAGCAGGTTATTAGGGATGAGGGTGTAGGATGGACAGCCGGACAGTGTTCTCCAAGATGTCCACCCACTTTGTTCTCTTTGTGCCCTATCTGGGAATTGCTGGGCTCGTTTCCCAAACCACCAAAGATCTAGCATCACCGATGCCCTCTGCCCACACTTCCGGCCTTGATCCTGGCTCAGCCCAGAGAGACCCACAGGTCCTATGAATAGGCGTGCTGTCTTCTCTGACAGGAAGGGGTCATCGTCTTTTTTTTTTTTTTTAATTGTACTTCAGGTGAAGGTTTACAGAACAAACAGTTTCTCATGAAACAGTAGTACACATATTGTTTTATGACACTGGTTAACAAGCCCACGACATGTCAACCCTCTCCCTTCTTGACCTTTTTTTTTTGGTGAAAATATACATAGCCAAAGATAACACCATTTCAAAAATTTCTACATGCACAGTTCAGTGATATCGACTACATTCTTCCAATTGTGCTGCTATTCTCACTTTAGATGAAGGTTTACAGAACAAAATAGTTTCCCATTAAACATTTAGTACACATGTTGCCCTATGACAATGGTTAACAACCTCACAACACATCAGCACTATCCTTACTCAACCACGGGTTCCCTATCACCAGCTTTCCTGTCCGGAAGGGGTCTTCTTGCACGCAAGTGAGGATTGAGGGGATGGTTCTTCCTCAGCCCGGCTGTTCCCATCCTGCCCAACCTGTCACATCTGCGTTTTTCAAGAGAAGCTTTTCCTCAGTCTAGTTTCCATAAGAAATGGGATTTGAAGAGGAATTTTTCTAGCTACCTAGTACTTGATGGTAAGGAAAGGGCTGGTAGAGAAACAGTTGGGACACAGAAGGAGAGGGAGGGCATTCTCTTCTCTCAACTCTGTAATTTCTTCCCTGGCTCTGTTCCTGGCATGACCATGGTCCAGTAGCTCAGACAGTGGAGGCTAAGGCAACAACATATATTCCTTGAAGCAAGGGTGTCACGATGAGCACCAGAAAGGACAGCTTATATTCCTTACATAGTATAAACTTAATTTACTCACCTTCTCCAAGGTCTGCACAAACTGCTCCACAGGAATGGAGCCACTCAACAAAGGCTTCAAAACTTTGCAGTCAGGAATGTCATCACTCACCCGCTTTCTCTTCTTACCACTTGTGGGCTGGGTGGGCCTTGGAGGGGGCTAGCACAAAAAGAAAACATGAATCTCATCAAGAACTACATCTAGAGAAGCAGGGGTTAGGGCAGGTCACATTTAGAACTTGGCTGGTCCCTGAGTGGGTCCATCCTATCCTGTGGTAATCTCTTCTCTGATACAGAGGCCTTGAATCATCCGTGGTGTGCAGACTCAGCAGGCACTGGAGTTCAGGTTCACTGTTAGCTAAGGGTTCCATCTGGAGTCCTTCACAACACAAATAGGCTAATGCCAATCTATACCACATGGTACATCTTATTTAGCTAAGATTTCTGCCTTTTATCAAGAAGCTTTAATTTTCAATCAATTCAGTTCTGTATTTGCTAAATAAATTCTTAATAATAAACTGTGCTGGCAACTGCAGGGATAGTAACAGCACAGTGGCTAAGGCCATCTGCTAGAAGACCAGACTGATACGGGTTGAAATCCTGCTACTTTCTGGCTGTGGAAACTTTGTCAAGAAACTGAAGGTCAATAAGTAAATAAATAGATAAGTAAACAAATATATAAATAAATAACCTGTAAGATGGTAATGGTAGAATCTTGTGAAGATTAAATAAGATAATGCACGTTAAGGACCTAGCACAGTGCCAGGCTATTGTAAGTTTACATAAGCAGCAGCTGTCAGCATATTGGAAATCCTAGTGGTGTAGTGATTAAGAGTTCAGCTGCTAACCAAAAGGTTGGCAGTTCGAATCCACCAGGTGCTCCTTGGAAACCCTATGGGGCAATTCTACTCTGTCCTATAGGGTTGCTATGAGTCGGGAATCGACTTGATGACCATGGGTTGGGTTTTTGGTTTGGTCAGCATATTATGCAGAGGTACAAAGGTAAACAGTCCAAATCTTGAAGGATTTTTTTCTAAAGGGGAATAAAACAAGTGCCTAAATATCTACACTACCAGGCAGCACACGCACGATGCAAGGGAGGCACAGAGTGCTGTGGAGGCCAGCGGTATGCGAGCTTGTTCATCATGTTAGCAGGCCCCCAAAGGCGTTCCCTGCTTCACACAGGTATGCTCTGTACTTACGGGCATCCTAAGGGAAGGGACTGTCCTTCTACTTTTTTAAGTCTCCCCCACAGTCCCCAGCTCATGTAGCACAGTGCTCAGGGTGAAGTCTCAATGAATGGCTACCTAATCAATCTGAAGAAGTGGTGCTGCTGCTTTCAGAGCTGTTACCAGCACTCAGGACCATGTGTGGCCACATTGCGTGAACATGTTCTCTCCCCTTTTATCTCACTGAGCCATGTGGCCAGAGACATTAGTAGGAAAGAATCTATATGCAGTGCCTGCCTCACTGTTTCAAATATAACCCATTAAGTAGCCTCGTCTCTATTTTGTGCTGATTTGGGAAATATGTGTTCTGGGAGCTGGCTGAGATGCTATGATCGCAGTGAGGTGGCTAGTCTTCAAGGCCCAGGAGGTTCATCATAGATTCAAGCCTAGCCCACCCTCTAAAAGGATACCTGAAGAACGTGCTTGTTATCTTTAGTATGCAGCACAGCCGAAACGGTTGCCAAGGAAATGCCAGGCTTAATCTCAATGGGCACCAGAGAATCTGCAAGCTGAAAGTAGAGAAGGATTTCAGTAGGCTCACACTAAATGTGAGGGAAAAGGGGTGTGGCAGCTGTGTTACCCAATGTGAGAAGTTGTGAGGCCACATTGGGCGTTAGCTCCCCCTCCCATCTGGAGCTCGGAGTGAATGCTGATATGCAAGGGTCAGCACACCACATTCAGCAAGCTTACACCCCACACGCTCTGCCCAGCTACGTGGCTGAGTATTCCGTGCAAAACAGGATCTGTTGAAATTATCAAGTAAAGAATCATAAAGTTGAGCCTTTACTGATTACCATTATTGATTTTTTTTTTTAAATTTTTATTTACATTATTGCTGCCTAAAATTGACTAAATAACTTCATGGAAGAAAGGTGAAAAATTTTTTTAATAAAAAACATATCAATTACTCTATCTCACAATAAAGAGGTAAGAGAAGACAGAGTAGGTAATAGGGGGTGGTGATGGATGAACTGAGAAGAGGAAGAGTGACTGATTCCAATTTTCCAAGTGGTACAGTATCTTTTGGGTACTTTTCATGGAGAGCTCTAGGCTATACAGCAGAGGCCATCCAAGAGCAACCAAATTTCAGTGCATGCTGGGACTCCAGTTTGTTGGCCTACTCTGCTTCTCCCTTTTGTCAGTTAATCCACAAATAATGCCAACACCCTGTCAGAGCACTATTTATCTGAACTCCTACAACAGCCTCAAAATGGCCCACCTGTCTCTTGTCTCCATTCCGTCATATACTGCTTTCATGTGGCTTCCAAACAACTCTTAACTCTTTGATATAGCTCTCAAAAACCTGTAAGGGCTTCCCATTACTCAAAATACATATCAAGTACAGATTTTTCATTCTGGCCTTTATGTCCCTCCTTAGTCTGGCTGCCTTCTTCATCCTTATCACCTCTCCAGGTGGCTAGTGTCAGGTGAGAAAGACTGAGTGAGTTCTCTAATTCTTAGAAATCTGACTTCTCTCACAGGTGGAACACACAGCTTTTACCTGTGAGGCCATTCTCTTTCCCGAATACCTGAGTTTGACGTGGATCCTTTTCTATGGAACTTCAGCCTCTCCCCACCCTAGATACTGGCAGTAGCATATGATATTATCAGGACCCCTAACACTATGGTTTAGCCACTTATTGTTCTTACATAGAGACCTCCTACCTATCCAAGCCTTCCTTATTTAAAACCAAAATTAAATAAATATGAAAAATTCCATTTATGCAAACGAGAAGATTAGTATCAAATGGACAGAGGAAGCAGCTTAGGATATTTAAAGGGACTGACAGATGGCATGTGAGGACTATTTCATGAAGTAAGAAAATGTATATAGTGTGAAATGTTCTTTACTGAGGAGACAGGTATGTGCCAGTCTCTTGGCAATGCCAGTTCCTGTTCTTAAATGTCTCCATCCATATTCTTTTCCTTCTCACACAGCAGTTATTCCTGTCACAGACAATACTGGCAAAAGCCAAAGAATTGGCTTCGGAGGTTTAGGGATGGCACTGTGGGAACCAAGAGGATGAGATCCTCTCCCTGGGCAAGTCCATGAACTACGTCCAAGAAGACTCCTGGGAGGTACGGCTCTTCAAAAAGGTTGAAAATGTCAGGTAGCAGCTCAGCCAGAAGGGAAATCTGCCCAAAGCCTCCAACAACCACCTGCTATCCCAGGAAGAGGACTTTCCATCAGAACAGGCCTGTGAGGACTGACATGTCACATCTCCCAGTTTGTACTGATGAGGACCAAAAAAAAAGATGTATAAGGAAGCTGCAGAGAATAAATGATGTACTTTCCAGTTAAGGATGAAAACAATATCCATTAGTAGCAGCAAAACACAAAAAGCAGGAATGAGATTTTTTATAAAATTGAGGTGAAATTCACAAAACATAAAATTAACCATTTTAAAGCGAACAATATAGTGGCATTTAATACATTCACAATGTGTAACCACCACCTCTAGTTCCAAAATATCTTCATCAATCCAAAAGAAAATCCTGTACCCATTAAGCACTCACTTCCCATTCTTCCCTCCTCCCAGCCTTTAGCAATCACCTATCTGCTTTCTGTCTCTTGGATTTATTACCCATTCTGCACATTTGTAATTGGAATCATACAACATGTGACCTTTTATGTCTGGCTTCCTTTATTTAGTATAATGTTTAAGGTTCACTCATGTTGTAGCATGTATCAGAACTTCATTCCTTTAAAAAAATTTTTTTTAATTGTAGTAAAAATATATGCTGTTGTTAGGTGCCATCAATTTCCAACTCATAGTGACCCTATGTACAACAGAACAAAACACTGCCTGGTCTTGTGCCATCCTCACAATCGTTGTTATGCTTGAGCCCACTGTGGCAGCCACTGTGTCACTCCATCTCGTTGAGCGTCTTCCTCTTTTTTGCTGACCCTCTACTTTACCAAGCATGATGTCCTTCTGGGGGGCTGATTCCTCCTGATAACATGTTCAAAGTATGAGAGACATAGTCTTGCCATCCTTGCTTCTAAGGAGCATTCTGACTGTACTTTTTCCAAGGCATATTTGTTCGTTCTTTTAGCAGTCCATGGTATATTCAATATTCTTTGCTAACGCCACAATTCAAAGGCGTAAATTCTTTTTTGGTCTTCCTTATTCATTGTCCAGCTTTCCCGGGCATATGAGGTGATTGAATACACCATGGCTTGGGTTAGGCAGGCGTACCTTAGTCTTCAAGCTGACATCTTTGCTTTTCAACACTTTGAAGAAGTCTTTTGCAGCACATTTGCCCAATGCAATGTGTCACTTGATTTCCTGACTGCTGCTTCCATGGGTGTTGATTGTGGATCCAAGTAAAATGAAATCCTTGACAATCCTTTCTCCATTTATCATGATGTTGCTTATTGGTCCAGTTGTGAGAATTTTTGTTTTCTTTATGTTGAGGTGTAATCCATACTGATGGCTGTGGTCTTTAATCATCATCAGTAAGTAAAAATATATATAACAAAATACTTGCGATTTCACCAGTTATATATGTACAATTCAGTGACGTAAATTACGTTCATCATGTTGCTTCATTCCTTTTTATGGCTGAATAATACGCCACTGTATGTATAGATCCCATTCTGTTTATTCAAATTCATCTGTTGATGGACACAGGTTGTTTCCACCTTTTGGATAATGTTGTTATGAACACTGGTGTACAAGTATCTGTTTGCATTACTGCTTTCAATTCTCTTAGGCAGGAGTGGGATACTAGGAGTAGAATCGCTGGGTCATCTGATAATTCTGGAGCTCTGGTGGTGCAACAGTTAAGAGGTATGGCTGCTAACCAAAAGGTTAGCGGTTCGAATCCACCAGCTGCTCCTTGGAAACCTTATGGGGCAGTTCTACTCTGTCCTATAGGGTCGCTATGAGTCGGAATCGACTCGATGGCAGTGGGTTTTTTTGTTTGTTTGTTTGTTTTGATAATTCTATGTTTAACTTTTTGAGGAACTATCAAACTTTTCCCAGAGCACTTGACCCATTTTGCATTCCTACAAGTGATGTACAAGGGTTCCAATTTCTCCACATCCTCACCAACACTTGTTAATTTCTATTTTTTTGATTATTGCCAATCAGTAAGATTTTAACCCATTCATTTCACAGATGCATTTTCCAGGAAAAATCAAATGAGACTTTTAGTTCTATCTTACACTGTACTTTAAGAATGATGGAAATCTCTACCCTTGTATAAAGTGGAATCAACAGAAAACTATTAGTGAGAACAATCCAGAGATCTGAGGGACAGCTGTTGAGCTTAGCTCCAGTGTTTTAGCCTTGCAGTGGGAGGTTGTGGAGGAGAAAGGGAAGGTGATAACACCAAATCAAACCAAACTCATTGCCATCGAGTCGATTCCGACTCATAGCGACCCTGCAGGACAGAGTAGAACTGCCCCATACGGCTTCCAAGGAGCAGGTGGTGGACTGGAACTGCCAACCTTTTGGTTAGCAGCTGAGCTTTTAACTACTGAGCCCCCAGGGCTCCATATAAAAGATAGAGTCATAAAAATAAAAGCAAGAAAAGACTGAGGAGTATTAAAAATAAAAGATGCCTGTCTGGAGCAGTGGTTCTCAAGTGGAGTCCCGGGGCCCCGGGGGCTCCCAGAGTCATTCAGGGAGCTGTGAGGTCAGTGCTAGTGTCACAGTAACACTAAGATGCGATTTGCCTTTTTCACTCTCATTCTCTCATGAGTTTTCTGTGGAATTTTCCAGAGGCTACATGACATATTTATCACAACAGATTAAATGCAGGAGGAGATGTGAGAGTCAAGCTGTCTTCTACAGCCAGATGTTATGGAGATTTAAAGTACAAAACAGTGCCCTTCTCTTTTTACTATTTTTTTTGAAATTTATTTTCATGAAAAAAATATTTTAGTTATCTTGACATGTAATGGGATTATACTGCTATATTTTAAAAGTTTTAATTTCTTATATAGTGAATATCTATAGATATAACCCACATAAACAAAAGTTCTTTGGGTTCCTAATTTTTAAGGAGTTTTGACACCAAAAAGTTTGAGAGCTGCTGACTTGGAGTATTGAAATTGAAATATAAGCCTTCAGCCCCAGCCGCTGTAAAATACTAAGCTAAAATGTGAAGATAGTCATGTGCTGCAAAATGTCCGTTCAGGCAACATCCGCCTGCACATATATCCATGGTCCCGTAAGTTTTTTTGTTTTTGTTTTTTAAGGGAAAGCAGATCTTTTATTATTTCCGTTTAATGGTTTTAAAGACTCCAAACCCCCAGCAAGACTTGAGGGGCATCCCAATCCTTGCAGTGCCTCCTCCTCCTCCTTTCCCTCCTGGCTTCATTCACCTGCCCAGCAGCTGTGCAGCCTTTCACTCCCACTGCAGTCTGCTTTGCTCCTGCCATGGGTGCTGGTGGGGACACTGGCTGGGCCTGGGGCACCACTGCCAGCTGTTACTCCCGGTACCTGCACACCTGCTATAGCAGTCAATTCTCTGCGTCCCTGTGAGCCTTCCACCCTTTCCCTCCCTGGGCCTGGATGCGCACAAAGTCCCCAACGGATACAACTGTCAGGCTTTGTCAGTGGGCTCATATGGTGTTCGCACAATGCCTAAATCGCATAATGCCCTACTTCACAGAAAGCAACGTATGGAGGATGTTAAGTCACGTGTACCTGTACTGACAAAAATATTCAGACACTGGGCTAGCTTCTTTTACTTTTAAGATGAACAAAACGTACAGAAAATGAAAAGCAAGATCATAAAAACACATTTAACATCTATAACAACCGGAAGGGATGGTCCGCCTACTTCTGTGTTAAAAACAATGAAACAAAAACTCGTCCCATTCTTGGAGTGGGAAATCTGCTCCCATCCAAAAAAAAACATACTAATGACAAATTATAGAAACAAAACAAAAATTCCCAACTGTAGGCAATATTAACCTAGTGGGTTGGGCAACCAGGAGTCTAAAGCTAAGAGTCATTATTTCAAAGTTCCAGCAGAAGGCTTCAGGCAGACATCTGGTCAAAAAGAGCCTCTGCTGAGAGGAAGACTGAACTGGTGAGCCAGAGGTCTGCAAGGGCAGATAGGTGGGCATAGGGCAGGATCTCAGAATCAAAGCTGCCAGTCTGCTCATACTGGATTGAGCAACAAGTCCCTGGGTGGCACAAATGGTTAAGCGCCGACCACTAACTAAAAGGCTGGAAGTTTGAACCCATCCAGAGGTGCCTTGGAAGAAAGCCTTGGTGATCTGCTTCTGGAAGGTCATAGACTTGAAAACCCCATGGAGTGTATTTCTATTCTGCACACATGGGGTTGCCATGAGTCAGAATCAACTCGATGGCATGGGTTTACTGTGCATCAGAATCACCTGGAGAGCTTGACAAAACAGATGGCTGGGCCTTACCCTTAGGGTTTCCAATTAAGTAGGTCTGAGGTGGGGCCTGAGAATCTGCATTTCTTACAAGTCCCCAGATGCTGCTGCTGCTCTGGGGTTGCACCTTGAACATTACTGCCCAACAGCATGCAGAGCTGAGAGAACGATCTGAGCAGGAAGGCTGCAGGTGGTGTGTCCCAACGTGAGTCAAACTGTGAGTTTTACTCTTGCTTAGGTTAAAGAACTAAATCTGTGACCCTTGTTAGGAATTAACTTTCAGAAACGAATGTACCAGTATCACTTGAGGTGTCTTCAGAGATGGAAGAGACACCTCCCTGCCAGTTGAGACCACATAAAATCTAATAATAGTACCTATCTCATAAGATTGTTGTGAGATAATCCATGAAATGTGTTTAGTACAGGTCCTGGCCCATAGTAAGGGCTCAGTAAGTATCAGTTATTTTCATTATAATTAAATAGGGAGGCCAAGGGGCTGGACCAGTGAAACAGGGAAAAAGGGTAACCTGGAATTCAGAGCTGAAAGAATTTGTATCCTTTTGGGTCTTGATAGGATACAGCCTAAAAGGGAAGTGCTATTACAGCTAAGCTCCAAGCAAACTGCGTTTTATAAAAGTGTAAAGCAAGCATCTGAAGGAAATTCACAAGAGAGGCAGCCTTGACCATCTCACTCATGAATGAGCTATAATTAGAGGGAAATGGAAGTCAGCTGGTTAGCCAAATGTTTGCCTACAAGGACAAGCTGGTGAATTCACAAGCTCAAACTAAAAATTAATACTCTTTTTCTTTTTAAAGAATTATTAGACCACAAACATCCAAATGACCTTCAAAGTAGTCAACTTGAGGAGCTATGCATATATTTATAAAATTTTACTGCTTAAAATGTTTTTGACTCCCCCTTTTAAAAAATTATCTTTATAACCAATTTATAAGGCTTATAAGAAAATTTATATCATTGCCTTGAAGGTATAATTTGGTTTTGGCCGAAAACTCTATCACCTAGCTTGATTACCCCATCTTGATCACCAGACATAACTACAAATACTTTTCTAAAATTGCTTTCAGTAGTCAAATCTCACCTCAAAGGATGAAGATTTGCTACCAGTGACTATATTCTCACAGAGAGTCGACAGTGGACTGTTCTAACTCATTAGGGAGGTCCCTGTGAAGGTGGATCTCCTCCTCTGCTTTCTCACGTCTGCATCTTTCCAGTCTAGGCTCACAACAGGACTTGTGCTTCCGCTTACTCCTACTATATACTGGTGCTGAAAGCACACACACTGCGATGCTCCCTCCCAAGCACCAGGAATGAAACAGAAAGGGGTATAAAATGTGAACAATTTTCTACTTATGTGTGCTTTAATGAAAAACAGGATTTCTTGCATTTAAAAAGCTCGTTAGTTTTGTGTTGTTCAATCAATTTTATTTAATTATTGGAATTGGCTTGAATCTCCTTTATCCACTGCTCTTAATTAAAAAACAAGAAAAGTTCAAAAGGTTAATTCTGGAAAGGACTAGATATACTGGAAACCGGGTCCCCATTTTGTGGGGAGTACAGTACCTGGTCCCTGTCCTGGGCCCACCACCAGCCTTTGGCAGGGCACACAGAAATGAGCAACATGCAGTAGTTTTAAAGTTCAAATCCAATATCTGGATACTATTTCTGAACTTCAAACTCCAAAAATAACTTTGAGGACACTAGTTTTAGTAAGTTTTCCTGCCTCTTGTTACTGTTTTTTAAAAAACATGTTGAAGCTATCTCAAAAGGCAAAAGAAAATCAGAAGTAGCTTCCTACAGAGTTTTATACGCCGTAATTGCAGGAGATGGGCCATTTGACTCTCTTGTCTTCCTTCTCACAGTGTATCTCAAATATTCCACATGTACAATACACTTCTTACTTTTTTCCCTATCAAGACAAAGGCTAAGATTTTTATACAAGTACAAAATATTTACTTAGATCAAAACTAAGATATGCTAAAATGGATATAACTAATAAGCATAGATTCCTTACATTTTGGTTACTCTTATCTCCTCCATCTATCTTTGAAGTTCGATGAAACTCGATGCTTACTCATAAATGAGGACTAGGAAGGACAAGAAAGACCACAACCCCTAAGGAAGTTAAGGACAGAGCTGGCATCAGCATTTCGATCCCAGGGTTCTAGCCTGGGACCTGGCCTACTGAATTGCACTGCTTAAACATTAATATAAGCAGCAGTCCTGACTTTAACAGCTGTTACTTCATTAGTTGAAAAAACAGAAAGCTCAGAAAATTCCATCTCTCTTCCTGGTTACTTGCTTAAGGGTCTGTGTTTTTTGGTTCATTCATATTTGAAACAAACCCAAAAGGAAGCCATCTCTGGGACAATCTTCTTCAAAAGACTCAGGTGGAAACTTGAGTTTAGCCATGAGAAAGAAAACGGCTCACCTCAGGCATAATTTCAATCTTTTCATACCGACGTTTGAAGGGCAGGGCAAGAACCTCGGCCCGGTGATAGGACATGGCAGGGGGCTGGCAGTCAATCATCAGGTCCATCCTGTGGGACTGGGTTGGAGGTGGCTGGGTATACTGCTCAGGACACACCACGTGGAGGGGCTGGAGAAACCAGCGGGACAGGGTGAATAGAGAAGTAAAGAAACAAGATAAGGCTGTAAAGCAAATCAACCTACTCTGAATAAGGTCAGCATTTGCTAGGCTAGCTCACTATCTTAATTCTATCTTTTCAGATGCTTATTGCAACTTTCAGGCCATTTCTAACTCTCATCCTCTCAAATTCAACTAACTGGTGAGAGGAGAGTAGAGCACGAAAAAACCCAAACCCATTGCTATTGAGTCAATTCTGACTCACAGTGACTCTACAAGACAGAGCAGAACTGCCCCATAGGGTTTCTAAGGCCGTAATCTTTATGGAAGCAGACGGCCACATCTTTCTCCTACGAAGCAGCTGCTGGGTTTGAACCAGCCAACTTTTTGGTTAGCAGCTGGGCACTTAATGACTGTGCCACCAGGGCTCCTTAAGACACAAGCCCAGTGGGGGGAAAGAAAAATAAAAGTTTAAGGGAAAACCCCTGAACTTCCAGCCATGTTGATGAGTGAAAGATTTATTTTGCCTTTTTTTTTTTTTAATTTTTTTTACTACTTAAGTTATTTTCATGTCCATGTGTCTTCTCCTAACTGGTCTCTAAGTTCTTTGAGGGCACAGTCTTTAACACGTACCATGTCTACTGTTACAGGCTACTGGCTGATTAGTGACAACTGTGATTTTTCATGCTAGTTTGGTATTCGTGGTTTTGAGTTTCTTATGTTGCCTGTGGGTCAACTGGCATTAGGTAGTGGTTACTGTGTGGTCAAGCCACATACTTAATCATTTGCATGGAATATGAGATAGAACGTTTTTTTTACAAAATGTTTCTTTTTGTTAACTTGTGAGAAAAAAAAAAAAATTAGTAAACCAAAGTATACTTTAGACAAAGACCAACCAATTGAAAACTTGGCACCCACAGGGTTTCATACAGTAAATGATTTTACATAAGAGTTTTTGGACCAAGCCTCAAGTTCCCTGAAGAATAAGACTTTCTAACAGGCTTAACTGGTTGGATTTAAAACAGCACTTGTTCTTTAGGGCTAATCTTTCCCTTCTTCCTCAAACTTCTTTTTCCTGATCTAGTTAGTATCTTTATAATCCTGTCTCAAAGCCATCTGACTCCACAATCATAGCCTGAGGACTTCTCCTAGGTTTTCCTCTCCTAAAGTGGAGATCAGGTCACATCCAGTGTCAAATATTAGCACACTATGCGTAGTGGTTAAGTGCTATGGCTGCTAACCAAAAGGTAGGCAGTTCAAATCCACCAGGCGCTCTTTGGAAACTCTATGAGGCAGTTCTACTCTGTCCTATAGGGCTGCTATTAGTTGAAATCCACTCGACAGTAACGAGTTGGGTTTTTTTTTTTTTTTAACATGGTGGCTTAAAGAGTTACAAAACTTGTTTAGGGACTGGGATTTGTAGTTATACTTAGTAATGAAAACCAACAGGCTCTTAACTGTTTCTTCCAGCATGTTGATTAGGAGACAGTGGGGTATCAGATTACCCCAACTGAGGCCAAAAATTGGTTAACTGCTCTCATTATGCCTAGCCAGGAAAAGCTCGTATTCTCTTCTTGTAGAGCAAGAAAGTTAGTGATCGCCATAATCAATAATCCCTGTGCTCCAGAGGCTCTTCATCCTTCTCTTTTTCTTGTTACACTTCTTAGAGTTTTGTGTTAGACCCTCCCATCCTGAGGTCAAAGATTCTGTAAAGGGGAGGAAAGAGGATCTGAACTAGGTCAACAAATAAAGGGAGGTAATCGTATCTAGCTGAATTACTAGGTGGAGAGACACCAGAGTGAACCCTGTCTTCCTTGACAATTCCAATCCATTTTTTCCTTCCCATTTACCAAAAAACTTACCATGTCAGTAGTAATTGACCTAGTGCAGTGATTTTTCATTCCCTGCTTTCCCTCTACATTCCCCTCTGTGCATATATTCTTCCTTTTATCCACCACTTTACCTCAACTACTTCTTCCATTCTCTATGACAGAAAATGCAAAATGAAAAAACAAAAACAACAAAAAACCTCTAACAAATGCAAAACAACACTATTAGTGGTACTAACCTACATGTGCAACAAGGGCCCAATACATGTTTCAGGCAAATTGTCTTTCAATATAGTGAACATGTTTTTAGAATGACTTGTCTTTTTTTTTGTGGGGGGGAGGGTACAATTTGCTTGTAACTGGAGACAGGCTTCCTACTGTTTATGCTTTCTTTTCCTTCCAGTTTTGATGTCTTTAGAGAGGAAACTTCTTTCAATATGTAATGATCATCAATTTTAAGTTTTCAGGGTAACTAGTATATGCCTCAGCATTCTGTGGACGTTCAGAAAGTTAGAAAAACAGGACTCAAATGCAGCTAGGCAGGCCTCCTACCTTTGATCAGAGATTTGTAGCTACACAGAAAGAATATCACCAAGTGAAGACACAAGCACGGTTTACTTCATTACCTGCACTTCTTTAAGCAAATTTGACACTTGGATGAAATTCAGTCGTGTGTCAATGGGGCAGTATATGCATTTCATGGCCAAGGGCTGGTAGGGAGCCAGTGCTTCCAGATAGGAGAAGTCAGGTTCTAAGGAAAACAGAAAATAAATTTTAAAATGCAGGCAACGGAGGGGCTGCCCAGCAAAGAAGGTGGCTGGTGCCGTCAGGGCCAAGTGAGGGGTAGCCAGAGTGGTCAGGGCAGGCAGATGGTGAGTGTGGGGAAGAGGCTGGTACACACAGGGAGATTGAGCAAATAAATAAAAACATCGAGGAGGATGGGAGCCAGATTTCTTACTGTCAGAGAAAGAAGTAACAAATAAGGAAAGGAAGAGGTTAGAATGAACCCTGTAGGATGGACTTGGAATTGACAGTATAGGTGTTTACTCAAAGTTTTCAACACAGACAGATTTAACAAATGTAAAGCAAATGATATAATTTAAAAATCACCATTTGGCAACCAGCATATAGTTATAATTTATTCAGATCAGAATCTCATCAACGTATGCTAAAAAAATCAGATAAAAATTGGATGAAGAACAGGATATATACATAGTCTCAGTGTCCCTACAAAAGTTACTTATTAAATACAAAGAGAAAACTGGTGACTTTACAGCAGAGAAACCTGGCATAGGCCACTTTAATCAAGTACTCAAAGTTAACAGTATGAGACAAATCAATGTCCTGGGCCACCTCCTCCTGGACAGAATGTGCCTAGAAGAAAAAACAAACAACAACAACAACATCAACCAAAATGGACTTTGACCTCCAGGTCAACAAAACGCTTCCGCTGAGACCATCGTACTGCTGTCAGCAAGCCTGAGCACACTACGGGTGGGCACTATGCTGACCATTCAGTGAGTTTGCTCTCTCTCTAGCCATGCCAGCCTGCTTGGCAGAAACTGTTCAACCCAACTCAATGAAGCTGCCCACCTTAAGCCAAAAAACTGGCTCACTCTTGATGTGATAAAAGAAAACCGGCTCACTCTTGATGCGATAAATGACTTTCCAATACAGCCAGTGTCCCAACATCATGCTTACGCCCTCCTGTCACACACTGACTTATCCTGTGTATTTGGGATAATTGATAGAACCTTCTAATATCTAAATTACCACTCTACCAGCAGATCATGTTTCCCCAAGAAGAATACCTGGAAGTCTCCAAAATGTGGCAAGCACAGGCTCCTTAGGAGGGCTGACTGACTCCCTTTTCACCTGTACTGAGAGCTACAATTCCCATCACACCAGCAGACATCATAAATGACACAGCTTCTTCTCTGGAAGCCCAATAAGACAGTTTAAATGTAAATTCATTACTCAGAATTGTCATGGACAATCACATAACCCTGGATATCTTTTAGTTAGCTAAAGGAAAATTTATACAATCAAACATACTTCCTACTGTGCCTATGTAAATACTGTGACCCTGTCATGTCAATAACCCACCAACAAGAGGAGAGACTTAACCTCAGAGTCCTATTACAGACAATGTTCTCTGGACAATCTCCTGATCATCAGCAAGTTGTCAGCAATGGTGAAATTCTGGAGAGCATGAAATCAATGTCTTGTGGCCTGAATTCATCTGCTTTGGCCAAAAAAAGGGGGGCCTAAGAAAGGGGAAAGCAGCCCCAGGCAGTGGGGAGCTCCGCTGGCCTTTTTAGCTGGGCATTGGAGATGAGCTGGGCTGGCACCCAGGCCTGGGTGTCCTGTGGAACATAAGCAATCTCACAGGACACCAACATCAGACAAAGCCACTCTGGGACCGTGAGAGATCAAGACAAAAACAAGACCACTCTGTATTCATGTCTGAACATAAAAATATGAAAGCTGCCCAAACCACAAAATGACCAAACATCCCTCTATCCTGGCTAACGTGAGAGACTGCTGCTTCTTTACCAATTACAGCTTTATCCTCGCTCCATTCTTCTTGCCTTCTAAATAAGCATCAAGATACCCAATCATAAAATTACTCCTGCTTCCTGACAGCACCCATCCAGAGCAATGTCCCACTGCCTTGAATCTATCCCAAAATCACCCACCACAAGCCCAAAGTCTAGAATAAGTTCTTTTTAACACCCTCTGAGATGCTCCTCAGCTCACCATGGTGCATGTTCTCCCTTGCTGCAGCACATCAATAAACCTAACTCTCTTCAACTACAAGTGTGTTCCTGGTGGTCTTTGGTTGGAGGGCAATGACACTCCTCACAAGCTGAACACAAGCTGAACACAGAGAAGGTCCTAAGTGTCCCTGGCCAGGATGCTGCTGGCATAACTAGACTCTCTACTAAAGTCTTAAAAGTAATTAGAAAACTATAAAGAGGGAGAAGGCGACTAGTATTTTCTCAGCAGCTTTTATGTGCCAGACACTGTTCTAAGAGCTTTCATATCACAGTTCACAAAATTCACAGCATAACCCAAGGAGACAGCTATCAACAATCCCACTTTACAAGGAGGAAAGTGAGGCTCAGAAAGGTGAGGTCACATGACTTAGGTTACATAGTAAGTTGGGCCAGATTTCAAATCAAGGTTTTTTAAGTCCATAGTCCACGAGATTTCCAAAACCCAAGGCTGCCTGAAGACCCAAAATTGATAAAAATAATGTACTGATTATCTAAGTAAAACTCCAACTTAACCTTATTAAAAGATTTGCTTTTCCTGACGGGTTCATCTCCAGAAGAAAAACTGCAAGCCAGAGAGAAAAAGCATAATCAAAGGAGAAAGATACATCTCAGTTAATAATTCCTAAAGGGTAAAACAATACTGGTTACTGGAATTACTGCAGTTCTTGAAACAGCTTACAAAATCCTATCAAAAAGTAGAATTCTGTCTCAGGGAGAAATCTAAAAGAACAGATATAAAGCTCTGTCCAGTACAGTTGTCTCACTGCATACTTTTCTCTCTCTCTCTCTCTTTTTTTTTTTTTTTTTTTACTTTTTTACAATTGTACTGATTCCCTTGTAGTTTCTTTATTCTTTGGCATTTATGGTATAATAATACCCACATTTATGCCTTACTGTAAAATCCTTTCGTGGGTCTGTAATCTTGTAGGTGTGTTCACTGACAGCCCCAGTGGAAGGGCAGGGTTTTGTCTGTTTGTTTTCTTTATTTACCTGTGAATATGACAGTGTTGAGACTAGACTTTCCCCAGAGCTCCAGGAAGTGGACTACATCCCCAAACCGGAGGGAAGGGTGCCCAGTGAACACCACACATGGCTGTCTGAAATCGTTGCTGAAGTCTCCGTGGATGCTGGGGTAGTGCTTCAGCTTATTGGTCTGAATGAGCTAGAACATATAAATATATGGAGAGATGTTAGCCTGCATAGGCTGAAGGAAGAACCAAAGCATGGGAAGGTGAGTCAAACAGAAATAAAAATACAAACAAATCTTATTAAAATTATATAAACACCAACAATTTTTACTTATGTGACTCTCTGAACAGATGGGCAAGTCAAGTCCTTTTCGTGATGTTAACATGCTCAGTGGAGACTTTTGTTCTGGTTGTTATGGCCTGATTTAGTCTGGCTATTCTTTAATAGCCACCTGACACCCAGAGCCCTGCCTCAGAGTCCTCACTAACAGTTACTCTTCGAAGCTGTTAGCTGTGAAACACTAAGTTCTGGCAACAATAAACAGACACCTCACACAGGAAAAACTGTTTACCAGTCTGGAACTCCTCGAGAAGTTATAGCTTTATAAACTTTATGTTGTTGCAGCATCTCAATAAAGGCAAAGACCAAACTGGCTTTCTGAAATTTGGGAGATTTGATGTCCTCATGACACCAGAGAGCCATATTAAGAAGGATGCCATGTACAGCCTTAAACCTGTCTCAAAAATCTATGCTTTGAACCAAGAAAAGTTCCCCTCCAACACAACACCTGATAATCTTCTAATAATTTGAGGTCCATACCAATATAACACCATATACTGTTACAGCATTACATGACATCTTACGACACTGTTCAGAAACTCTGCCCAGGTTCCTGCCTGCTGACTTGCCCTTACCCCCACCTTCCCACTATAGCATCAGATGACAAACATCTAGGATTCACAGAACTTCAACATCAAATAGGCCAAAGGAAGTTTTGCCATGAGAGGCTGTTTAATAGATAAAGAAATGGTCTACAACACTGCTTAATCCTTTGTTGTTGTTCGGTGCTGTCGAGTAGCCTCTGACTCATAGCGAAACCATGTACGACTGAACGAAACATTGCCCGGTCCTGTACCATCCTTGTGATCATTGTTATGTTTGAGCCCATTGTTGCAGCCACTGTGTCAATCCATCTCGTTGAGGGTCTTCCTCTTTTTCGCTGACCCTCTACTTTACCAAG